GAAACTCGGAGGAGTGAGGAGCGGCGCGCTGCCTCGACGCAGGGAACGCAGGTAGGGGCAGGCCCCGGAGGGAGGGGAGGGAGGGACCGGGGGAGACCAGAGACCAGGACACGAGAGGCCATGCCTCGAAGACGAGGCAGGGAGGGGTGACCAAGACGGTGGTGCCAGAGAAGAGTCTCATGGGATAGGAGGCGACAGGAGCAGGGGGCAGACTCAGGACCAGACCGAGACGCTGCAGCAAACACCTGACCCGACGCAGCTACCTGACCAGGAACAGCAACCGGGGGGGACTCGGCAGTCAGTGTGTACAAGCTCGACCCCGGCCGACGAGTAAACGTGGCCAAGTGTCGGCCCGTGTCAGCACACGTGCAGTGGGTCACCCGCTGATGCGCAGGAGTGAACAGGTCAACTCCTCCATCCTGTAGGTCAGCACCCGCCACCAAGTTCGTAGAGAACGAGGGGAGGTAAAGACCGGACAGGGAGCCAGACGGGACCGCTGGACACGGCAGGACAGTGGAGTAGTGAGATATGGCATCACTATGTTACGCTTTAGTGTGAGGCTTAACTTATTTCTTGACACTATAATCTGATATGAACTTGTTTGATTGTGTTCACACCCACCCAGATGGACGTTATCATCGTCACGGAGGAGGTGGACCGAACGGTGTTGTACATACGACACCGGTACATCGACTATGAAGACAAGTTCAGTGAGGGGCTGAGCCTACATCTGTCGCTTTTCCTGGAGCGACACAAGGACGACAACCGTGAGTTGCAAGTGGAGGGGCGTGGACTCAAGCGGCCGCCCAGTTCGCTGAGAGTTTGTGCTCAACAAGGAGCCCATTGCTGGCCACAAATTCGGCGGCACCATGCACGACTGCAGAAGCTGTGCAAGGCATTCGTCAAAACCACCGTCCTGAACCTGACCGAGCGGATGGCAGATCTTTGTCGCATGGGCGGCACGAGGTTGTACAATGTGGAAATGTTTCCCCTCAAGCTGGAAACGCGCGAGAGGCGATGTGTCACGTGGCTTTGGGTAAATTCAACTCTGTCCAGCAACTGTTTGCCACGTGAGGATAAACCCCTCATTTACTAGATGTTGCTCGTGCCTGTTGAGCATAACAGGTTGTTTCGGTTGTATTGTCTGACCGTGTTTTTTTGGGTTGCGAAGCAACCCATTGTCAGACTTATATGATCTAGCATATGTAGGCTGTAGCGGGGTAGATACTAAGGGGTACACAATTCTAGGGTTTCATATTTGTATCACATACTTTCCTAGTTCATTCATTCACATACTTAACATGGTATAGAGCGAGTTCCCTAGTGGGACCACCACAAGAATATTTTTTTTCAGCTGCCCGAAGCGCCTTTGCGCCCTGCCCTAAAATTTACTGCCACTTTGTGGCCTTACCTTGCCCTTAGTGGCCCCCTTTACGGCCCTTAGACCGCCCCTTCGCGGCCCCTATGCGGCCCCTCGCCCCCCCCCCCCCCCCCCCCCCCCCCCCCCCCCCCTCTCATGGCCCCCCTTTGCGGCCCCCCCCGTCGCGCCCCGTCGCGGCCCCTTCGCGACCCCGTCGCGACCCCGTCGCGGCCCCGTCGCGGCTCCGTCGCGACCCCGTCGCGGCCCCGTCGCGACCCCTTCGCGACCCTGTCGCGACCCCGTCGCGACCCCTTCGCGACCCCGTCGCGACCCTGTCGCGGCCCCTTCGCGACCCTGTCGCGGCCCCTCCACGGCCCTTTGTGGCCCCCCCTTTGCGGCCCCTTCGAGGCCTTCTCACGGCCCTTTGCAGCCCCTTCGCGGCCCCCTGCGTGGCGTCGCCCCTGGCCCCTGGAGCAGCCGCCCCTGCAGCAGCCGCCCCTGGCCCCTGGAGCAGCCGCCCCTGCAGCAGCCGCCCCTGGCCCCTGGAGCAGCCGCCCCTGCAGCAGCCGCCCCTGGCCCCTGGAGCAGCCGCCCCTGGAGCAGCCGCCCCTGGCTACTGGAGCAGCCGCCCCTGCAGCAGCCGCCCCTGGCCCCTGGAGCAGCCGCCCCTGCAGCAGCCGCCCCTGGCCCCTGGAGCAGCCGCCCCTGCAGCAGCCGCCCCTGCAGCAGCCGCCCCTTCCCCTGGAGCAGCCGCCCCTGTAGAAGCCTCCCCTGGACCTTTGCAGCCGCCCCTGGCCCCTGGAGCAGCCGCCCCTGCAGCAGCCGCCCCTGGCCCCTGGAGCAGCCGCCCCTGGAGCAGCTGCCCCCTGCAGCTGCCGCGGAGCCCTCGCCCTGCAGTGGTGCCGGCCTTGCCGTTGCCACCGTCGTACGCCTGCCCTTCTTGCCACTGGTGAGCACTGTCCTGCCTGTACTGCTGTTACTGCTACTCCTGCTGCTATTGCTCTTTCTACTACTATTGCTGCTAGTACTGCTACTGCTGTTACTGCTGCTCCTGCTGCTACTGCTGCTCGTGCTGCTCCTACTGCTACTGCGCTTTCTACTGCTCCTGCTGCTCCTGGCGTGGCCAGATGCAGCTCCAGCGCCGTCCGCGTGAGTCCCTCACGCCCCAACAGCTTTGTGGGTGGTACTGTTAAGAACTAGGCAAGAATGAGTCATTGGGAGAAGGTTTGGGGTACAAGAAAGAGAATGTCGAGAAAATGTTTGTACCCCCTAAGGCTATCCCCAATACAACCTAGACTATAATATGCATATATTTGACACACCCCCATAGGTGAAATGGGGGATAGCCAGAGCAAGCAATGGTCACAAGACCAGTCAAGAGACAAAACACAGCTCAGGGTGGATCACAACGTCACCACTCAAACTGAGCACAAGCAAACGGCCACAGGGCCAGTTCACATGCAGAGATATATAAGCAACAAGAACCGTACAGTGATCTCTAGCTAGCAAGAGCCAACATGCAGGTATATATACAGGTCACAGTACAAACAAAGGCTACAGCAAGTGTGGAAACGTCGGCACAAGGCCCAACAAAGTACAAAAGCGCTGATGATCACCAGACGGAAGTGCCTTGGTGAATATATCAGCAGTGTTGGCCCGAGTGTCCACGTGACGGAGACGAAGCTGGCCTCGCTGCTGCAACTCTCGAGCCAGGAAGTAACGCAGAGCAATGTGCTTCGTTCTATGCTCCAGTCTGTGCTCCTCACACAAGGCAATGGCGGCCTTGTTGTCGACGTACAGTACTGGAGGAGAACGAGGCCGCTCTCCCAGGTCGGTCAGCAGGTAGGTGAGCCAGCGCAACTCCTGTGCAGCCATGGCTGTGGCATAGATCTCAGCCTCACAACTGGAGCTGAGAACTGAAGACGGGCGAGTAGAACGCCACAAAACTGAACCAGAGCCAAGGCTGAAGGTGTAACCCTGTGACGACCGCTGAGTAGCCTGGTCGTCAACCCAAGAAGCGTCTGAGTGCCCAGTGAGAACAACTGGGCTCTTCCCACCAGGCACTATCCCCATGCCTGATGTACTGCACAAGTAGCGCAGTACCCTCTTAGCAGCAGCCATGTGCTCAGGTCGGTGCCGACCAGGAGCCACATAGCGAGCCAGAAGGCCAAGGGGGTGCGCGAGGTCAGGACGAGTGCAGGTCATCAGGTACATGAGGCAGCCAACTAGCTCTGGGTAAGGACCACTCGGCTCTACGGACTCGTCCGAAGGTGGAGCTGAGAGCGAGTGACCTGTCACCAGGGGAGTGGCCTGTGCTGAGGACCAGGTGAAGCCGAAGCGTTGAAGGACCTGCTGCACCATGTGTGACTGAGTCAGTGTGATGGTGCGGTGTGCTCTGTCCCGGGTGATCTGCAAGCCAAGGTAACTGCGCAGCTTACCCGGGTCTTTGCACGTGTGTCTCTTCTGCAGCTCGGACTTCACCAGGGCAAGAGCCTCAGTGTCAGCAGTGGCAAAGACCAAATCGTCGACGTACACGAGGATGTAGAACGGCGGCAGCAAAGTGTCGGTGCGCAGAAACAGCAACGGGTCAGCAAACAAAGGAGCGAACCCAAGAGCCGCAAGTGTAGTCCTCAGTGTATCGTGCCACTCACGAGGCGCCTGGCGGAGACCGTAGACTGGCCGCCGGAGGCTCCACTGGGTACCAGGAGGGAACGCCCCAGTGAAGCCAGGAGGGCGGCGCAGCCAGATCTCCTCGTGCAGGCTGCCTTGTAAGAAGGCTGTGCTGAAGTCAAGAGAGTGAAGCTCGTAGTCACGCTGAGCGGCAACGTGCAGCAGCACCCGAAGAGTAGTCATCTTCGGGGTACGGGAGAAGGTCTGGAATAAGTGGACTCCCTCTCGCTGACTGAATCCTCTAGCAACGTAACGAGCCTTGAAGACAGGCGGAGAACCTGGCGGCCGCTTCACCCTGAAAATCCACATGCCATCGACGATGTTCGCCCCAGGAGGGGGAACCTCATCGACGTAAGTGCCAGTGGACTTCCAGGATGCCATCTCTGCGTCCATGGCTGTCTGCCACTGAGAGGAGTACTCACCCGCGATCGCCTCAGCGTAAGAGCGCGGGGTCGGGATGTCTGGTGCATCCGGGTCTCCCTTAGGGGCAAGCAGCATGGCCACGAGATGGGGCGCAGCGGCTGCGAGACACTCAAGGTCCTCCTGCCTGTCCTCAAGAACGTCCGTGCCAAGAGCACACTCACCCCCGACGGACGGAGGACAGACAGACTCAGCAACAAGACTGGCAGCGTAGTCTAGACGACAAGCAGCAGCAAAGTCAACAAGCTCAGCGACCAGGGCAGACGCAGCAGCAGACTCAAATGACGGGTCAGTGACGACAGTGGCGAGCAGACGCATAACTGTAGGGTGCTCAGCACGAAACCGGTCAGACGCAGGGTCCGGAACGATAGGCAGAGAGGACGCAGGGGGAGACGGCAGAGGAACAGACTGCAGAGCAGAGGAAGGACGACGGACAACAAGGTGTGTGCCGGGGACAGTCGGCTGACGTGAACGAGAAACACGACGACCAGCACGACCAGAACGAACAGGCGAGACTGGACGCGACGCAGGCTCACGACGCTCAGCAAGACTACCTGTCTGCTCAGTGTAAGGAGAGGGAGCAGGCAGCGGTGAGCCAGGCTGTAGCGGAAGACCAGTAGACGACGGGAGAGTAACAACCTGACGAAGAGCAGAGTCAGGCGGCGGCAGTGACGACGGAGACGTCGGAGCGAAGAACAGTTGCGTCGGTGCAGCTGCACCAGCACCAGCAGCTCCAGCAGCTCCAGCACCTCCAGCAGCTCCAGCGCCTCCAGCAGCTCCAGCACCTCCAGCAGCCCCAGGGTCTCCAACAACTCCAGCAGCTCCAGTGCCTCCAGCAGCTCCAGCAGCTCCAGTCGCAGAGCCGGTACCCCCAGCAGCAGCACCACCAGAACCAGCGTCACCAGCAGCAGCACCCCCAGAACCGGCACCTCCAGTCCCAGGGTCTCCAACCTCAGGGTCTCCCACAGCACGAGCACCCCCAGAACCAGCACCTCCAGTCCCAAGGTCTCCAGCCTCAGTGTCTCCAGCAACGGCACCTCCAGGCGCAGCACCCCCAGCCCCAGTAGCTCCAGTACCTCCAGCAGCAGAGCCCCGGGCTCCAGCAGCGCGACGCTGACGGCGACCGTACCAGTCGTGCAGCTGCTGAGTGGTGAGAGGCACACGCGGACGAAGGCGGCCACTCCAAGTAGGCCGCGCACCAGCAGTCCCAGTACCCTCAAGCGTCTCACCTCCAGACTCAGCACCCCCAGGCTCCGCACGCACAGGCTCAGCACCCCCAGACGCAGCACCTCCAGGAGCACCACCCCCAACAGCACCAGAGTCAACAGGAACCGGCTGCAGAGGCGGTGAAGAAGGTCGCGGAGGGAACCCCGGAGGGGTCTCCAAGCGTGGTGCGCGGCGGTAGGCCGCCGGGGCGTCAGCAGCAACGTCACCCCCCTCAGGTGAGCCAGAGGTGTCGGAAGTGACCTCCAAAGGCTCAGCCAAGGGGGGGGGGTCTACCTGAGACACACCTGAAGGAGCAGGACCCTGAGGGGGGAGGGGGTCTACCGGGGGGGGACCTGGCGCAAGGAAGAGCGGCGGGGGAGGTGAGAAGGGGGGCAGCGCGGTAGGGGAAGAGACGGTAGTACGGAACCGACTCGTCAAACGTGACGTCCTGGGAGGACAGAACACGGCGCAAGGTGGGGTGGTAAAACTGCCAACCAGGCGCGTCAGGGGGGAAGCCAAGGAAGACACAGGGAACTGCACGGGAGGACAACTTGTCCGTAGACAAGTCTCGGACAAAATCCAGAGATCCCCAGACACGAAACGCAGACGCATCGCCAACCTGCCCTGTCCACCTCAGAGTGGGGGAGGTGTCGGGCATGGAGACCCGGGGCTGAAGGTTGATCTGATGCGCCACGTACTGAACCGCAAACGGCCACAGAAAATGGGGAGCAGCCGCATGGATCATGGACGTGCGAGCGACATCCATGACCATGCCAATGCGGCGCTTAGCAATCCCATTTTGCTGCGGAGAGGCCGGAAGCGTGAATGTTGTTGGTGTAAGGGCCTAATAAACTCAAGCTATTAGGACTTAATCAAACTTAAAACCTCTCCTCGGGGTCACCTCCAAGGGTCCCTGGGTGCCTGGTACAAGACCAGCCCCTATCCTCGGGTCCGAGTTTGTAGAGAGAGGGATCAAGAAGGACTTAGTCAAAACAGCAAGAGTACCTTGAACGTCGCGCAGCGTGCCGTGCAGACCGTCGATCGGATTAAGCTGAGAATTCGCTATATCGAAGCTCGCTCCAAGAGCTTTAAAATGAGCCAAGTTGCCTCGCGAAAAGTTCTGCCATCACTAAGTTATGGCTCGGACAGCGTTTGCCTAGCGTTGGAGTGCTAGCATACTAGCGTTGACTCGGGTAGCATTCCGCCGTCGAATAGCGCAGAAACGAAATTCCAGCGAGGAAGGAATTCGCTTGAATCAATTGGACTATATTCAGGTACAAACAGAGAAGGATTAAATAGTTCTAGCTAGCAAGGACCTTGGGAATCAACCTGGGAACAACCAGGGATGATCCCAAATAATTCCAAGCAACAGAACCAACCTGGCTGGACAAAATAGCAGGTGGTAGGTTGGTAAACAACCTCTGGTTCTGTTTTTTCCAACCTGGGAAAACAACAACCAGGTTTAGGTTCTAAAAACAGAACCTGTTTTGTCTTTGCCCAACCAGCCAAATGCTGGTTCCGCTGGTTTCCCCTGGCCTTGTAGCATGCAGATACAGACAAACAACATCCAACCTTCACCTAAATTGTACCCCTATAGTGCCTTCCTTGCTACACTATAGTTAACCAAACAAAACAGTACAATTTCGAGTTGGATAGAACTGAATCTGCGCAATCAACTCAACCGAACTGCAAAGCTTCCATCTTGGGTTCCTTTGCGAGCTCGTCCTTTCTGCTTGCACTGTTCATAGCGCGTACAATGTTGTGCCGAAGCGCACATTGCGCGAGTACCTGCAAATGCATCAAGCGAAAAAAGCGAAAGCAAACAAACACACGAACACACCATTCACACGCAAATGCATTCGCACACGCATACTCGTACAAACAGACGGCAGGATGTCGTGCAATGTGCATTTGCACCCAACACACTCCCCCTCAGCCTGCCGGCTGCATCCCCGTCATTCCATGCTAGTTCATGCTCATTCCACTCATGCGCACACAACACCAATGAGGCTCATCCGCAAGCCTCTTGGTGAGAAAGTCTGCTGGCTGCTGGTGAGTCTTGATGTAGATCGGATGCACCGTCCCCCTCTTCACCTCCTTACGCAGCCAGTGCCACTTGATACGCATGTGCTTGTTCAGCCCATGAAGCACAGCGTTTCTGGCCATCCCAAGAGCCCCCTTGCTATCACAAAACAGCGGCGTAGCAACTTTCTGCTCCTGGCCAATCTCCTCTAACAGCCTCCTCAGCCAAATCACCTCCTTCACCCCATGGAACATCGCCATGTACTCTGATTCTACGGAAGAGAGTGCCGTCTCCGTCTGCTTCTTGGATCTCCAACTAACAGGTCCTCCCCCAACTACGCAGATGTATCCTCCCACAGATGAGGAATCCTCCTTCTCAGAAGCCCACGTAGCATCGGTAAAGCAAGTGAGAAATAGCTTGCCTTCTCCAAGCCTCTCCCCCTTCTCTTTCAGCACCTCCACCCCTTTCTGCTTCACCTGTGCAGATGCGGAGTATTGAACTCCAATGCTTGGGTGAGAGTTCAGGTACTTCACCACACGCTCAGCTGCATCCACCTGCTCCTCTGATGGATTCTGCACCACCCTAGCCAGCTGCCCAACCGAGAAAGAGATGTCGGGCCTCGTGTGAACTGCTGCGTACAAGAGGCTGCCCACCAAGGACTGAAATTGCTGCTGCTCTTCAGCTTCAACCCCTTCATCCTCTGCAGCCTTCACAAGCTTGAATTCTGCTGGCAGGGGAGTTGCAACCTTGCGCTCATTCTCAATCCCATACTTCTCCCCCAGCTCCTTGATGAACTTCTCCTGGTGCAGCTTCAACCACCTGTGATCTGGATCCCTCTCCACGTGCATCCCGAGGTAGTACTTTACCTCCCCAAGGTTCTTGCACTTGAAGTTTTCCATCAGTTGCTGCTGCACTTTCTGGATCTCCTTCATGCTGCTGCTGAAGAGAAGAATGTCGTCCACATAGACCAGAAACAGCACCAGCTTCTCCCCCTCGCCCTTGAGAAAGAGGCTCTCATCACAGCTGCTGGTCCTGAATCCCATCTCCTCTAAAACAGCTGCCAACTTCTGGTACCAGCAGCGTGGCGCCTGCTTCAAGCCGTAGATGGACTTGTTGAGCTTGCACACCCTGCCCGTACCATCCTCATACCCAGGCGGCTGCGTCATGTACACATCCTCCTCTAAAATCCCATTCAGGAATGCCGTTGAAATATCCATCTGAATGATGAATTTCCCACTAACAGCTGCATCTGCCAACAAGACACGGAGGGTAGGGGGTTTGGCAGTGGGAGCAAAGATCTCGTTGAAGTCCTGCTTCTCCTTCTGCATAAACCCCTTCGCCACCAGCCTACTCTTGTAGATGGTGACCTGCCCCTTGTCATCGGTCTTGATCCTCAGCACCCACTTGCATTGTATCGCTTTCTTCCCATCAGGCAGCACCACCAGATCCCATGTCCTATTCTCCAGCAGACTCTGGTACTCTGCATCCCTAGAAGCCAGCCACTTGTCCCTATCTGGTCCAGCTAATGCCTCCTCCATGCTAGCTGGTTCCTCTGGTGCAGGGGCAAGAAAACAGTACGCAGGCTCATCCTCCTCATCCGGGTCATAGCCATGAGGTAGAATCAGCAATGCCTCTTCGGTCCCTAGCTGCTGCTCTGCTGCATCAGTTCCTGCAGTCAGCTTCTTAGTAGCCATACGGGTACGTCCTGGCCTGGAGACGGGTGTCTCCCATCCCTTCATAACGACACCCTTCGGCTTCTTAGTTTTTCCCTGCTGCTTCTCTCCTCCCTCGGGTCCAGCAGCTCCACTAGTGCTGCCGCCAGTTTCCACACCATTTTCTCCACCAGCAGATGCCTCCTGTACCTTTTCTCCATCACCATTTCCAGCAGCTGCCTCCTCTCCCTCCTCCCACACACTAGGAGTCAGGTCCAGCTGCATGGTGATCTGCTCCATCTGCTGGGACACCCTTGCCTCCGGCTGTTTCTCCCAGCTCCCATACATCATGCCCTCAATGAATTTCACATCCCTGCTGTCAAACAACACACCCTTGGATGGTTCCCACAGCAGCCATCCCTTGCTCTCAGCAGCCAGCCCCAAATGCACACACCAGATTGCACTCGCCCCCAACTTACTGCGGTAGGTCTTGGGGACGTGGGCGACTGCCATGCAACCGAACACCCTCAGCATGTCCACCGGCGGCTTCCTCCCAAGCCACCTCTCCAACGGCACCCACGAGTCATCCCCAACCTTGGTGAGCACCCTGTTCCTAGCGACAGTGGCGTGCCGGACAGCATGAGGCCACATAGAATTGCTCAGCCCAGATTCTATGAGCAGCGCCCTAGCTGTCTCCAGAATGGTCCGGTTTGCCCGTTCTGCTACACCATTGGACTGTGGGGTATAAGCCGTGGTCAGCTCTCTCTGGATGCCCTGCTTCTTGAGCCAGGCCGTCATTTCAGCTCCAAGGAACTCACCACCCCGGTCTGTCCTAATCCGCTTCACTACACACTCCGCCTGCTTCTCCACGAATGGCAGCCAATCGTCCCGTATCGTGGAGGCGGCGTGGTCCTTCTGCTTCAGCGGATACGCCCACATCAGCCTGCTCCAGTCATCCACAATTGTAAGAAAATACCGCTCCCCCTTGTGCCCTTGCACCGGCAGCGGCCCCACCAAGTCCATGTGGACCAGCTCTAAAGGCTTCTTGCTCCTGCCAGCCACACTATGGAAAGGGAAACGGGTGAACTTTGAAAGCAAACAGATTTCACAGTTGTCATCGGGTGGCTGTCCGTTCAGCTTCAGACCCTTAACGGCTCCATCCTTCTCCAGCTGCTTCAGCAAAGGCATTGCCACATGCCCTAAGCGCCGGTGTGCCGTTGCCCAATCTGTCTCCCCAGATCTGGCCGACACTTTCACACCAACCCCTCCAACGGCATTGCACTCCCCCTGGGATGCAGACCCCTCTCCAGCCTGCCCCCCACCATGCCACGCCAGGGCCGGCAGCTGCCACATAGATCTGTACACGTCCTTGCTCTCGTGCAGATCCCAAAGCACCCGATTGCCCAGCTTCCCCTTATAAGTGCGTGCCCCATCCGTGTTGGTGTTCACCCCAGCCTTGCCAAGCTTACGGAGGGAGATAAGGTTGGCCTTCAGGTCGGGGACGAAGAGAACGTCGTGCAGCACCACCGGCTTGCCATCCGCTCCCTTAAACGCAGCTCGTCCCGCACCAGCCACCTTCAACATGTGTCCAGAGGCGGAGCACACTTCATTGATCGGTGCAGCTCGTACTTCGTCCAGCAGGTCCTTGCGCGGCGTCATCGTCCAAGCAGCGCCTGTGTCCAACACCCAATAGTCTAGGGGGTGCAGCTCTGCTCCAACTTTGGCAGAGGCGTCTCCTTGCTCCCCCTTGTCTCCTACATGGAAGAATTGGCCCGCGGTGCGCTCCTTCTTCTTCTCCGCACCGCCGTTGCCCTTCGGGTTGTTGTCGGACGAATCAGCGACCATGTTGGCGCCGTTTTTCTGGTTCCTCCGCGCGCCGCCATCCTGGTGACGATTCTGGGGGGTCCATCCATCGGGTTTCTTATAGCACAAAAACCAGGGGTGCCCTTCCTTCTCACAATACCAGCAACTCCCTTTCATTTTGCCACCAGCACCCGACTTGCCCCCACGTCCAGATTTCGCACCGCGACCCCAACCGGTACCTCCTTGTTGGTCGTTGGAGTCGTCGTCTTTCTTTGCACCGCGTCCAGCACCACC